CATAAAGAACAAATGCCTTTCTCCGATCGGGACCAACACGTAGAAGTGAGGTAGGAGGTATAAGGGGAATAATCGGACGAAGGAATTCGGAGTCAATAGAGTCGAGATCGAACGTCTGCTGGCTAGTGGATGGTTCAGGGGTACCAAGTCGGTTTGAAGGGGTAAGATAACCAAGATTGTCTATATCTCCATCATAAATCGAGGATGTCAAATTAGATTGCTGGCTCTGGGACATAATAGGCGAAATAAATAAATGATCAATTACGAGGGGAAGAATAAGAGAAGGGATTTACTTACAAAGGGCAGAAGACGTATTACCCTAGCTGTGAATAGAGAGCTGAACGATCAAGTCGTCGTTTATCAAAAGTACCTACTTCACTAGCATTTAATTGGTATATATTATAGGTTTAAGTGGGTTAGAGCCAGCATAACCCAGCAAAACCCAGCCAAAACCCAGCCAAACCCAGCAAAACCCAGCAAAACCCAGCAAAACCCAGCAAAACCCAGCAAAACCCAGCAAAACCCAGCAATTATAACGGGCTAATGCCGGTACTAAGGCTCAGGCTCTACCCGCGCTTACTGCTAGATCCCCTCAGCCAGAGTTTCTAACCGCGGTCAGAAACTAGGAGTATTAGTACTCGGGCTCTACCCGCGCTCACTGTAAGATCCCCTCAGCTAGAGTTTCTGACCGCGGTTAGAAAGTATAGTAGAATAAGGCTTTAATCGTATAATTAATTTTCTGACCGCGGTCAGAGATAGTAGTAGTCGAAAGGAGATCTCAACGTGTAAGGATAGAGTGACTACTTTACACTGTATTCAAAATATATTTCTACAACTTCAACCATGTCAGCAAACCTAAATTATCAAATACCACTACAACCATGATTATCTTTAATTTTTATTGGTAATAAACTAATATCTGGCCAATATAAAATGATATAAGTGTCTATTTAGTTTAGTCATATAAAGTTGATGTCGAATAAGTGAGTTCATATGGGTTCGATCTAAAACACAAAAAAATACGAAGATTACATGTTGATTATTTAGCAACTTTATGAACGCCAAGAGTTTGTTTTTATGCAAAGTTGGGTTTTACTGGGGCCCCATTGGGGGCCCAGCGCTGGGTCCGGGTTGGGTCCGGGTTCGCTGACTTCGACCCGGACCCAGGCTGGGTCCGGGTCCGGGTCCGATATCTCGACCCAAACCCGGGTTGTGCGATAGACTATAGACGTATTATCAGTTGTTACCGCTAGTACTCGGTTAGCGATTTAGTGCTTTTATAGGATCTAGATAACTACGTCCCCGAGGTTCACGCTAGTATAAGATCTAGAAATTAGCTCAAACCTAAGTAGGACCTTATAATACTCCTATTCCTAGTCTAGAAAGTATCCTATAATAGCTATAAATATATACTTAAATAGTGAAGTCTAGCAGTTAAGCGCAATCGATATTTTTGTACCAGATAGCAGCTATTATAGTATCTCTTGTTAATACTCTATAACGAAACCCCGGAGGCGGTCACGAATTACCTTTCTTAATAGAACGCTCGGTAGTGTAGGTACTAGCCGTACGTAGGAAATAAGATTATAGAATTCTTAGTGCTCGATAAAGAGAAAGGGTAAATATAATATAGTGATTAGGTTTAGAATCTTCTGTTCCTATATTTATTAGGTAAAGAGAGGCGCTAGTCTTCTCTCGGCCTAAAATATAGTGAATTTATTATTAGTATTAATATTAGACTGCGCCAAAACCCGAGAATGGGTAAGAGAAGTCGACCCGCAACCCGAACCCGCAAACCCGATGGGTAGACTCGACCAACCCGCAACCCGCCCCGCAACCCGCGCGGGTAACCCGCGCGGGTTCCCGCAAAAACCCGCGGCTGCATAATTTTCCCAATTAAGCCATGGCGAAGTGTATAAAAATGCTGATTTATACTAATAAAATACAGTAATCTACGGCGGTTTTGTTTATACGTCTAAGGCACCCTTCGACTACTGCTATTTCTGACCGCGGTCAGAAATTATCTATGCATTGAAAACTCCCTTCAGACTACTGCTATCTCTAACCGCGGTCAGAAATTATCTATACATTGAAAACTCCCTTCAGACTACTACTATCTCTGACCGCGGTCAGAAATAGTATAGGCAAAGTGGCTTTTCACGCATAAGTAATTTCTGACAGCCGTTAGAAATAGTAGTGGTATATTGGAATTAGAGCGGGCTGTAGGAGCTTTTACCCCCTTGAGGTGAAAAGGAAATACAACAAGATACAGGTAAGAAATGCATAATTTATGTAGATACGACTCTTCCTATGTTTGCACTGTTTAGTAACCCGCATGGGTAACCCGCAAACCCGCGCGGGTTACCCAAACAAACCCGAAACCCATTGCGGGTTATGAAAGTCGACCCGAAACCCGACCCATTTGCGGGTTGGGTTTTTTCGGGTTTGCGGGTTTGCGGGTTTTGGCGCAGTCTAATTAATATTGAGTATAGGCTATTTCGAATATACCGCGTCGCTAAGTAGTTGCTAGATATTACCCTTCTTTGTAATTCGCTATCGATATCTTAGCCTATTAAGATACTTCTACATCGATAAGTTTCTAGTATAATTTGTAGCTGGATACGTAAGAACTGTACGGTACCGATTATATATAACGCTAGGCTTTCTATCTTTAGTATATATAACTTGTTGAAACCTAGTCTAGTAGTCTACGCGACGGCTGACCTCTTAGTTTAGCCGCTTCTTCTTACTAAAATCAGTTTGAAGCCACTACTTAACGAATTCCGCGGATATATCGGTAGTAAAGACGATATACTCGTTAATACTATCTGGCTTAATTCGCGTAAGGGTATCTAGGGCCCGAGGTCCTATACGAGATCGGACTTAGTTATCTAGAAGGTCTAGAAGGTCTAGAACTAAATCAAACTAGCTTTCGCGTTAGTATAGCGTATCGTTAGGGGTAAGATACTGTAGCGCGTCTAGCGGTAACCCTTCGAAGCTAGATGATACGTAGCCGTAGCCGTCGGTAATCTGAGATATAATAACTTTAGTAAACCAGTATAACTTAGGGAAGATAATAAGGAACTCACTAGTTATTCTGTAGAAGTTACGGGGTCTTCTTAGGGTTAGACTGCGACATCGCCCGTCCATGGGCACCTAGGAGGTGCCCATCGCCCGTCCACGGTGGGCCTTGGGCTATTTGGATTTTCGAGTGCCCGTCCATAACGCCCAAGGCCCACGGGCATGCCCACGGCGGGCATGCCCACGATGCCCACCATTATATAAAGTTGTCTTAAATATATATAAAAATTAGATATATAGTAAATTATAGTATATATATTAATATATATCTTATTAAAAATCCGGAATTATGATTGTAAATATATAAAAAATATAAATTTAGTTGAAATATTTTGAAATCTGTCAATTAAAATCACGTGTTGCGCTAATTTTGCTTACTAAAAAGGCCCACGGGCGCCCACGGTGTCCATGGACAATGGGCCCTAAGGGTAGGGCCCGTCCATGGGCGTATTGATAGTGCCCATCGCCCGCTTACATAAGGCCCGTGGGCACTGCCCACCCGCCCGTCCATGGGCGATGTCGCAGTCTACTTAGGGTATCTATTTATCCCTATTCTATAATACTTAAATTGATATATCAACTTTTATAAAGCCCTATCTATATCTGATTCGCTAGTATAGTGGATTACTATAGAAACGAACCTTAATAAACCTCAACGAACCTCAATAAACCTCAACGAACCTTAACGAACCTTAATAAACCTCAATAAATCTCAACGAACCTTAACGAGAACCTTAATGTAGGAAAAATAGAATGTCTAAGTCTAACAATTGGGACATTTAATCCGGATTCACGGTATATCTAGACTAATTAATATGAATTCTAAAAGACAAAGTAATAGAAGAAGATATAATAGTTTGAATAATATTAAAATAAGGGGAATTAAACTGTATCTTTATAGTTTTCTTAAAGAACTGTAGTTCTACTAATAAAGATACACATACTTTACAGTATCTGCGATATATATATCTACAACTTTACATGCTATTTTATCGATGACCTCTATTGACCACCCACCACGTCGATATCATCGGATATTACCTATAATTTATAGGTGACCACGCCTCCTATTTACTTTTTAATGACTATATCTTTATAATTCATTATATTGATAGAGTATTCAGTGGAAAGTCTATAGTTTAACGGAACAGCTGTAAAAAACAGAGATGAATCATCAATTTTATCCAGCCAAAAGAGGAAAGGCGTCAAGAAATTATGTATATGCAGGTTCATGCGGGTCGATGGAGGTTGAACCTCAAAGAACCTCTGGAGGTTAATGGGCGGTTGGAGGTTAGTAAGGTTGGAACCTCACCTCAAGAGGTGAGGTTCGAGGTTCCGGGGTAGGGACCCATGCGGAGGTTCAAAGCCAGGTCTAGGCTCAACCTCCAAATTCTTGGCATATTTATACTGTCCAGGGCCCATTTAGGGGCCTATTAACCCGCAGTAGGTTTCTATTTAGGCCTATAGCCTACAGGTAGGCCTAAACGAAGGTAGGGCCCAAAGCCCACCTCATTTGTGGGCTGGGTTGGGATGGGCTATGGGCTTCATGGGCTTTGCGGAGCTCTAACCACCAGCGACTTCTCACTGTTGTATTTTTTTTGTTCACCAGCTATTTTGTTTTGCTTCGTCGTTATAATTTAAATGGCCTTATTGAATGAGAAAAATTGCAAGCGTCTATTTCTTGGCTTTGGATAATAGATAGTTAAGTGGAAGAGATTAATAATAGGTGCTTGATAACTACAGCACTGGAGGGTCAAAAGTACGTTCTTTATTAGTTGCTGCTTACGCCCGGGCTGTGATTGGGATGAATAATCGCCTTCACCACGCAACGTTAGTTATGCTTTCCCAACGCTTCCACGACTTTACGCATTCCCATCTCCATCTCTGTCTTATCTACCATGTCTTTTCCGCATGTTGCATCATCTCATGACACCCACGGGCAGCCCAAACGGAGAAAAGTGCGCAAAGGCACCCACAGTTGCTGGGAATGCAAGCGCCGGAAGATGAAATGTAGATTCGATCCACGCATTGCGAGTATCTCTTGTAACGGTTGTCGACGACGTGGCTCCCCCTGTATCAGTCAGGAATTTCTCGAGGATCTCGAAAATGTTCTTACGAATATTGGAACCACCAGTGGTGAAGGCGCTTCCTTTGATGGAACTCGTTCTCCCACACCCGGTGCAAGGATAGCATCTAGGTGCCGATGAGAAGCGATGGTTTCTCGGCGGGGCGACGTAGTTGATAACGATGAGGGTGCCTCCGAGGACACCAGATGCTCCCCAACCTTGAATAGCACGTCCAATGATGACGGACACTTTATTCTGTGCTGCTGCTGCTACAATGCTGCCCACCAAAAATATACCCACCCCGCTGAGATAAACCCACTTCACGTTAAGGTACTTGAACAGCTTTCCCCGGAGTGGCGAGGTCGAGGCCGCGAGGAAGAACGTCGCGCATCCATACCAGCCCACATCGTTGAGTTTTCGGAAATCGTTGGTGATTTTGGGAATTGCGGTTGCGATGATACCAATCTCCAGAGAGACAAGTAGGGTTCTCACGAAGATCGTGAATATGATGAGGACGAGTCGGATGCCAGTCGCATAGTCGGGAGGGATCTCGTCAAGGTCTTTTTGCCCTTGCGGACTACCAATACTCAAGCCGGGCAGGCTTTTGTCCAGCTCAGCTTTCTTGCTGTTCTTGAGATCTGAACCGTCTGCCATCATTCAAGTTGTTGGATACTTTGCAACACAACATCCCGTCAAAGGGTACAGGCATCGCAATTTATAGTTTTGAGCTCTCAGAAATATACGTTGAAGCCATCTAGATGACAAAAACATCACGTAAGGAAGCCTGTGATTGACACGGTCGAACGGTCGAGCGAGACATTTCGACCGCCGCGTTTTGTATATAAATATTGGCAATGGAGCTAGTCACCTGGTCGAATCTAACCCTAAAATTGCCAAGACATTTAGTAGCATTCGTCCGCCGTGTCCCGCCACACACGGGTGGACAAGGCCGTATCACTAATTGACAATACCATTAATAATGCTCCTTCTGCACCTTAGATCGACAGGTCTTCGGTTGGTTCGACCGTGACCCTGTAGGATTACATAGGTACCTAGGAAGCATGCCGCAATCGACAGCAGTACCTAAGTTTGCCAAAATTAGTAAACAGGTAAGTAAATAAGCGGCCATGAACAGCCGGGATTGCAGCTATTTGTTGTTAAGAGTTCATATAAAGAGATACCGTTAATTATAAGCTCAATGTAACCTTGTATATAAACATTCTTTCTAAGTTCCTGAAGCAATCTCTCTTCAAAAGAATAAGTAATATATAAATAAGCACTATTTCTTTTTCACTTCTCTACTCCTGTCATATAGCCCCTCTCTCAATATACGCAAATTGATACACTGAGCACAGTCTGAACAGCAGCATCTAAATGAACGAAATACGCTTATTGAACCAAGCACCGTCAAAATAGGGGCTCCCGACATACAGAAATTTACCGTAGATTATCCACAACTTGCTTACGTTTTCAATCCTTCTTCTATTATGCTAGATTTCTAGCCGTATTTCAGAAGCCATCTCTCAGTGCAAATCGACTACTAGCAATACTCGTCATTCTCGCCACGACTAAACACTTGTGCCTGTGCTATTTTGTTTGCCCAATTAGTACTATCTATTGTTCCGAATATGCTCCTAACTTTTGTCTCTATAACTTGGTGCGCACTATTCTGCAAACCATTTTTAGCCGCATGCATAAAATCAGCTGACGCATTTTCCGCCCCATTTCCCCATTTCCCCTGTTTTCCCTATTTCTACCCGGCCCCTTTCTCTTAGCCTCGTCCTTCAACTGTTCATTATTCCTTCTTGAAGTTTAAGGCATTCTAGCTCACTTCGGTTATTTTTTATCCGATTGTGACTGCCAAATTCATACATGATGGCTGAAATCCTCGGTGCCACAGCCAGCGCTATCAGTCTTTTCACATTATTAGAACAAATTGTCCAAAGCATAGACAGGCTAAAAGCCGTACGCTCATTTATGAAAAATGCTGCCACAGAGTTTCAAGAATTCATTGATGATATTGAGCTTGTGCAGATCATTTTGGTAAGACTAAGGCCAGAAATGCTGGAAGCTATCAATCTTCCCTCTATGGAGAGACGTCTGCGTGCCTTTCAGAGAGACCTGGATGCTCTTGCATATAAAATGCACAAGTTCAAGAATCAAACCACAAACGGAAGGCTGGCAATTATGAAACTTGCCTTGAAAAAAGATATTTTCCAAGTCCAGAAGCAACACCTGGATAGCATCAAGACGACAATGATGCTCCTTCAGCAAACGTACTGTAGGTCAGTTTCTCAATAATCATGTCGTTAATTTTTCAATATTCTAGACGGTAAATCTTCAATCGACGTGCAACTAACTTTTTACGTTACAATTTAAGCACCTCCATACGTGAACTGAAGCAAAAGGTTGATTCCTCTATCATATCGAGATCCCCTATAGCTCGACCCGAACGGTGTCAGAGTTTCGAACAGTGGTAAAGGACCACACCATAGAGCATATGTTTATTTTGCTTACACTTCATAATAGGCCAAGAATACCAAGTGAAAAGCACAACCAAGAATCAAAACGACACAAAATCAACCGAGGAAGATTCCGTTTTCGCACACCGCTCGTTTTCTTCGATAAACTCTGGACATTCGACATATTCCAGAGTTTTTCGACCTGGAATTTCACTATTCAAGTCAATAATGTCTTACCATTAAATTCCGAGATCTTCAGACTTTGTCGACAAGGCAGAGTCGAAGAAATCCAGAAACTATTCACGAATCGTCTCGCATCTCCCTTCGATTGCAATTGTTATGGAGAAGGGTTGTTGCATGTAGGTCTTAAATCACCGTTTACTTTTGCTTTTGGCTTATAATCAAAATTATTAGCTAGCCTCTCAATTTGGTCAATTGGCGGTTTGTCAAATGCTATTGGAGAATGGGGCCGATCCAGGCCAAAGAAATAAATGGGGAGCGTGAGTATTTCTGAACTTAAACCTTTCCCACTTCGAAGCTGTCTGCTAATTGATGCTAGTACTCCCCTCGGCAAAGTAAACGCAGCAGCTAGAGCATGGATTGAGCACCCAGAAAAAGTCCCTTTATTCCTCGAATTGTACAGACTCTTTGTTCGTGAGTTCGGAGACGAGCTGTTTGAAGATCTTGATAACAGGTGGCCATCAACATCCGGCTTTCAGGGGCCCCCTGAGGCATTCTCTTTAATTCAGGAGGTCTCTTTCAACTCATATTCAGATCTGCCCGTTGATTTCCGGTTTAAGCAGGCAATGACCATTGACAACTGGTGGGTGAGTGGTGCCAGCCCAACTATACTTCGAATGGCGATGGGCGGTGATCATATTGACCATAGCGCCTACTTTCTCGAGGATGAAAACGGAGAAACTCTGCTATACAGGATTGCCCAGGGTATGGCCGTTGACTTCTCTGAAAGAAAAAACAGCAATATGCCGAAGTGGCGTGAGCTGCTTTCTGGTGCAATCACGGCATATGCCGACCCATGTCATTTGTCCTCTAAGTACAAACGGACGAGTACGCCTCTAACCACATTTCTACGATACTCCACCAAGAATTGGGCAGAAATCAAACGAGCGAAATATATATTTGACTCCACTATCCAATTCTGGGTATCGGAGCTTCAGTTGGCTGGCGTTGATTTAGCAGAGTATGGGGCGAAGGAGAAATCACTACATATGTCTGGCGTTATTGACCTGGAGCTCAGTATATACGTTGGGCTTGAAAATTCTGGCCCAGCATATGATCCTGACCTAGGTGAATATCTTTTATTTCGTATCCTATCGCTCGAATTTGGTCCAAGACCAGAAGAGTGGAAACTATGGGTCTCTAATCCGGTAGATGAACTGGCGTGGGAATTCTGGGAACTGGTTGAGAGGGGAGAGCAAGTTATGCCAGGTACTTGGATAGATTAGCCACATGTAGGGCCGTTGGCCCTGCTTCTCAATGTGATGTTCTTAGTAGCTACATGAGAATCGTGCGTTGTCGGTTAATGGGTTACTGCTACGTATTATGCATCTGGCCTATGGTTGAGTCTGATATCTTTCTCATAAATTATTTTGACGATAATGAACTTTTATACTGCAGAGTGCAATGCCCCTATTGATTCGCACTCTACGAATCAGCCATAATCTCCATACGAGACATTACCGATTTGCTTGTTGTTAATTCAACTCGATCCTTGCGTAACGAGAAACAGAGACCTGTCACCAGAGCTTACTTGCTGCCAGTAAATACCATTGATATATATATAGCCTGAAAAAGGAATCCTGTGAACTAAAGATCATCTACTAGTAGACGGCTCTTGGAAAGCCAAATATAGCTTCTGTAGGTCCGAGTCCCTCTGCAGCAACACTTCAGCTCTATCGCACTCCACAAGTTCCCCATGTTTGAGCAAAATCACCCGGTCGAACCAATGAATATAACGATGCCGATGTACCACCGATATGATAGTTTGTTGAGAGAATTCCTTCTCGATAATGTCCTGCATGATTGCCTCCGTTTCCCAATCGACGCTGACACAAGAAAATAATTAGTTTCTAGCTCAATGGAAACCCAGAGATCCATAATTTAATAGAACGATATTAGCGCATACCTGCTTGTAGCCTCATCTAAGATCAACAGAGAACTTTTTTTATCAGGGCCCGAGACAAGGCAAGCAATTGCCTCTGTCCGACCGACCAGTCCGCAGTAGAGAACTCCATATCCAAGCCCCCTTTGGCGTGAACTCGATCCCAGAGGCCCACCTTATCAATGGCACGGACCAGTTCCGCATCGATCACGCACTGGCGAGGATCGAGATTGAAGCGGAGGGTGCCTGGCATAAAAAATGGGTCTTGGGGGACAACGTTGATGCGCGAGCGGATTGTGCTTCTCGGGATTTCGGTGAGGTTCCTGCCGTCTATTTCTATCCGTCCGGACTGAATGTCAAGCATCTGGAGCATCGCCATGATAAGTGATGTTTTTCCACTACCGGATGATCCGCAAATGGCAATTTTCTCCCCCGGCTTGATGGTAAGGGTAAGACTTTTCAGGATCGGAGTAGTTGAGTGGCTACCTAGCTTAGCTTTTGTACATATAACAAAGATAGTCCCACTAAAGCGAGATGATACATACTCATATCCAGCAGTCACCTCTGTGAATTTTACCTCACCATAGCAAGGCCAGTTATGCGGTAGTTGAGGAGCAATTGAAGATGCGATACCGCGTTCTTCCGATGGGGTATCTTCTATAAAGCGCTGGACGCGCGTGACGGCCCCGATAGAGGTTTCAGTCATAGTCCACATCTTAAGGGCATTTGCTAAGGTTTGATTTAGTGTCAGTAAAATGTTGAGTGCAACCCCAATGGATGCTGCATTAAATCGATCTTTTAGGGATGTGACCATGGCGATTAGAATGACTGCGATCGCTCCAACAGTCAAATCCAAAACCAGAATCAGCCATTGCTGGATACTGTAAAGCATGTATACCGGTCGTTGCGATCGGTTTAATAGGGAGTGGCTTTTCTCTCGCAGCTGGAGCCCCCAGTTGAAGGCTCGGATGCTTGATATGCCGTGGATGGTCTCGAGAAAGTGTGTGTACAGAGGTGCTTTGGCCTCGATGTCTAGCAATCGGACCTGTCGGGATGTGCGCAGATAATATGACTGAATGAAGAATAGAACCACACCCAAGAGTGGGACCGAGGCTGCCAGGTATCTACCAATGGCACAAATGATAATAATGTTGATAAAAACATAAATGACATCTGCCGAGTGAGTGAGCCCCAGCATCTTGATATCGGGGAAGAGTTAGTACTAGTTACGCAGTTCACAGCATATATCGGCAGCATCATATCAATAAGTTCCAAATCTTGACTGAACCTGTCTCAGATGTGTCAGAAACAACGGAGGCAGAAGATTGTGAAATTAACAATACCTATTCGTTATTGAACCAGTGTCCACACTTTGGTAGAAGCTAATCGATGCCCTGCGGTAGTAAATATAAGTATGACAATGTATGGATGTTGGACTATGATAGCTCACCTAAGCGCTGTTTTGAGAAGATCGGAATGCAAATTCAGCGAAGTATTGTTAAGGGCTGGAACAAAAAGCAACCTGCGATCTCCGGTCAGCTCTGAAAAAAAATCGTATCTAAGACACGTACCAGCAGCCAGTTACGAGACTCAGAAATGCCAACCCAAATATCAATCCGTAAACACCGAGATACATCCCCAGCTGCTTGTTAGGTTGCTCTTCATTTGCTTCAACCCACCATTGAATCCATAATGCTAGAAGAAGTTAGTTTTTCTTTCTTCTAACCAATGTGACCCAAAACCAGACAGACTTTGAAAGCTGGAGCAGAACGCCTCAATAATAGTGAAGGCCAAAAAGGAGACCAAAATTCCGTATCCTGCGCTCCGAAAGTAGTATGTGTACACGGGCCAATTTCCGTTCCGTTTAACACGCATGGCCCTTTTTTTGTCGGCGGTTTGCACAGCATTGCTGGTACGATCTTTGTTTTCGACAACCGTGAGGTGGAAGTTTGATTTCTCCGCCGTTGCAAGGGGAGGATTCGCCGCTGGCTTCTGATCCTTTGAGATAATCCCTGGATTCCTAGATTGTATTTCACTGTATGACCCCGAAGCTGTGATCTTTCTCTCATCTATAGTCACAATTTCATCTGCATGGAGTAGCAACTGATCTATAAGTTCTCTTAGAGCTGATCCTTGATCGCGTCGCAACAGGGATTACCCGCCCTCAGGGCATCTCAAGACGTACCTGTACTCATAGCGAGAATAACAGATATCCCCGCTTTTCTAAAGTGGCCGTCTTTGCCTAACAGCTGGTTCGAGATAAAAGCAATATTTGTTGAGTCGAGCCCGCTGAATATATTGTCCAGGATCACAACGTCAAGCCTAGAGTAGACTGCCCGGGCTAGCGCCTAGAGATAAGAAGAAAGGACTCATCAGTACGTGCAAAGATAGTTGCATGTTATGCAGAATGACTCACAATTCGCTGCTTTTGGCCTCCACTAAGTGAGATGCCGCCGCTTCCAGCTAGATGCATGTCACCTTCCACAAGAGCCCTGAGGTCCTGTTGCAGGCCACAAGCCTCGCATGTGAAGTCATACCATGCTTGGTCAAATTCCAGGAATCCGATGATATTGGCCCGGATGGTATCATTCGTGATCCACGGGATCTGTGGACAATAGGCCGCTCTTGAGAACGAGGCTGTTCTGGAACCATCTTTAACCATGTGCTGACTGAGGATGCTCTCAATCAGAGTTGACTTTCCACATCCAACAGGACCGACGATCATCGTAATGCCCTGACGAATATTGAGGGTCAGATGGCGGAGCACGGGATCTTTGTCTGAGGACCATGCTATGTCTGCATCTTGGAATGAGATCAAAAATGGACAGAACTTTTCAGATGACGGGACAGGCTGAGCCTCATCTTCATACTTTGCGGGTGAAGGGGTGCATTTCGCACAATATGCTTCAATCCGGTCAAAGCAAGCGATAGCTTGCCATAGTGCGGGCATGACTTGGCAAAATATGAGTAGGGGATTGGTGAGAAGAGAAATCAAAGCAAGGGATGTGAATGCCTGAGCAGAGAGAATTGACCCATCGTGTCGCACAGCAGATATTATTGCGTAGATTGTGAACGTAGCGAAGGGAGCGAAGACAACAGGCACGTTCGCTGAATTCAACGTCAGTCCATGTCCAAGTGGCCCTCTCATGTGTTTCGGGTACTCACAGAGCGCAACCTGCCATATCAACAACTTCCGGAAAGTGACTGAAGTTTTCACTTCAATTTCACGCAGACGTGACACCAGCGGTAAAATGACATCGCCAAGCCCGAGCATTTGTACAGCCTTCATGCTGCCTAACGTGTTTGCTGTCACTTCCAGTCGCTTTTGTACTCGCTCGATCCATTGCTTTTGCGCCTGCCCAGATAGGCTTGACACTGGGACCATTCCTGCCACGGATGCTGCAGATAAAGCTTAGCTATTTCTCTTGGGCCAATATATCTGTCAAAATCAGATGGGGGAATTGTTACCCAGTGAGGTGACAAGAGGTATAAAGCAGGCAACCCCGATCTCGCGCTCTAATAACCAAATCGCGATCCCCACTTCTATAATAGACGCCCATGCCTCATGCAAGTTTTTCAAGTTAGCCACTATCCGTTCAACATCGGTACCCATCAATGTAATAGCCGCGGAATCAGTCAAATCAGCCGCAGTCATGTCGATGGTCTGGTCATAGATCATAGAAATAAGACCAGATCGCATCATGGTAAGTAAACGGTATGTCTGGCGCCAGTATACGGCTTTGGAGATCTTTTTGCGACCGTTAGCGAGACATGCTATATTCGCAGTACTGAATGTATACCCACCGCCAACCCCAGATATACTAGAATATACGCGCCTATGAGTCCAGTTCCGTAAAACTTAGGCTCTGACGCCGATGAGTCTCCGATATATTTCAGAGTTGCTGTGATCAGAAAAGGCTGCGTAAAGGTAAAGCAGCTGTAGGCCAGACGTGGGGGGATCGCGGAGATATAAGCCCATCCGTATGCACAAAACACAGCTTTGACTAAGCGATAATGACCGTTTTGACTTGCAAAGTCCCAAGACTGTCGAAGTTTACCGCCAGAGCATTGCCCTTGAAGATTCGTGTCAACCTCCGGAATATTCTCGACTTCGAGAGCTTCTTTATACCCTTTCTGGAGGAATGGCAGTACCCAGATAAAGAAGCTTCGGCTCCAAAACCCGACCTTTCCTTCATCGGTACTGCTATAGTGGTGGGAGTTCAGAATATTAATTTTTGGAACGGACTCAAGGGCTACAACCGCCACCGTCAAAAGGAAGCTGGCTAGCGAGAGATATCGACAGACTTCAACGGATGGGATTTGCCATAGTGAGCGCAGCTGAGGCAGTCTGCAAATGCTAGACGCCGAGAAATAGAGGACGAGGAGATCCGAGGGTCTCACAGATCGCTGGTCCTCTACGAAGGAGGTGTATGACGCTGCAAATGTTGCTATGATGTTGAGTATGGCTGCTAGTAAGGAAGCCTGGGTATGAAGCACCGATTTTTGAACTTGAAAAGCCGCAAACAGAACCTGAAGAACAAATAACACGGCGATAAGGCACTGCTTGAGGTCAGCCACAGTTGGGGAAGGTATAACGAGGGACCTTTACTAGCTTGCAGACCGCTAATCTGTATGAGGTGATTTTGACTGGTTCGTGCCAAAGAAACCAAAGCCGTATAGGTAAAAGTATTAAGAGAATTGCGGCTGGTAGAGATGTGAAAAATATGTCTTCAAATAAGAGCGTAAAGTCAAAGGCACGACAATCGATGCTGACGCGAGGGCCGAGGCGATTGTCGGACAAGCACAAGCTGGTTGCCATTAATACTTTGCGAGGTATGTTGTGTGTCCGAGTAAATTTGATTGTATTCGAGGAAGATTACTTGGTTCTATGGGATACAGTGCCGAATTATAAATACTAAAATAGATAGCTACTACCTCTAGGACTGACTCGGAGCAACCGCAATCAATTGCCTATTTAGGAAACATCTGTTGTTGAACTCCGAAAGACGCATACCCTCTTTATTCCGATCAAATACTTTTATCGATGTAATGACTTACCCTTAGACATAAGGCCTTTTGAGTCTAGACCTCGCCAACAGGTTGCGGGTTGAGGTTTACATAGCACCTTTTCTGTTTGCAGGTTTTGTCAAGGCCTATATTCAGCGACTATGTTTTCTCCGAGATTTCTTGTAGGTACTATGCACACTAAATCGTGAGGCCTACAGGATGATTTTGTCGGAGAAGTTGGCAATGTCGATATTAACAGCGGGCCTTCTACCATATACAACTATGTACATGGTGATCAGGGAGTTCGGAAAAAGGCACGCATTATATACAGGATTAATTCCCCACGAAATCCGCGTGAATAGTAATGCTCACCGCGTGGCGAAAGAGATCAGAGAATAAATTATAGAAAATTTTCAGGCTCCTAATTCTTACGAGGTCTGGCCTTGCTCGTGATGATGTTCGTGCTCATGTCCATCTTTGACCTCATTAATTCCTGAACTCATCATCACGGGCACCTCCAAAAGCTGTCTGTGAAACATCGTCGGGTTCATAACCAGCCGCCTGCAATGCCGCGCATGAGCGACACTATCGAACCTCCGTTCCATTACCACCCCCGTTTCCCTCATTCGTATATACTTTTCCCAGTAGAACATGCAGTGTGCAATATGCCAGTCTCTCAGGCTCCAGAAACTACCTTTGCTGTCTCCAAGAAGTGCAACCTGTGCCTTTCCAATCGGGATGGTTCCGTTTGCATCTGCATAGTAGGGCCAGGACCCATCGGAGTTCGGACCCGATCGGTCGAACTCCGCCGTCAGTTCGTCGTCCCGGCAGTGAGGCGGTAGCCAAGCTGTAGCCAGTGAATCGTACACACAATGCTTAGAAAGAGCTTCTTGGACGCTGCTCCCACAGTCACATAGGTTCATTGTAGGCCCCAGGGTTTCGGGTCTGTATACGTCGGGTTTGGGTGAAGGCAGTCCAATCAGGCGAAAAGCTTGAAGGCAGATGGACATAAATCCCCAAGAAGCTAGGAGAACTGTTGTAATTCGGATTGCCGCACTCAAGCATCGGCTGTGGCGTCGATCGGAATGGTACAGCGGCAGTTGATCGGTGGGTTTGATACATTCTTCGTCACGAATGATGTCGGCAGAGGGAGGTCTGCCCTTAGGAAGAAAAGGCATCTCCATCAAGTCCATCTGGGATGGTACGGTGCACAACGTGTTTACAACCGCGAGAAGGCGATTGGATCGCTGTGGTTACATCAAGTTCTGTCCCAAGGACAGACTATTATCAAGGGCAACAGCAAGCAAGCTTTCGAAGCCAAAAAACAAACAAACAAACACTTTGGCTTTGTGCAAGAGTTCTGAATATAGTAGCAATCAGCAATCAGCGCGATAATGCGTCGTTCTTAAGGGTTCTCACTGCTCAAAGCTTCTGTGGCACACTCACCTAGGTCTGCTTCTCTTTCGCCGGAATCAGACTTGGAATCTTAATACAGTGCGAGTGTACTCATAGAGAAAAGACTGTATGTATTGAGTTGGACAGAGAGAGGAGAGAGAAAGGGGGAGAGAGAGCAGGTGTACTATCTACTATGGGTTCTATCACATGGTGATGCCTCAGGCATCCAACAAATCTTGACCAGAATAGCGTAATGGGAAGGAGTGTTGTGCAGGCCAATTTTATCACCACCGATAAAGTGATGGGGGAGTACTTTGGCTAGCAGCTCGCTTCGTGTGTGTAATATAGCAAAGTATGGACCCACCGTATGAGCAAGCGTTTACTGATGGCGAGCCTTCAAATAAACCGTAAGCTTATGTCTCCCAGATGAAGAGGTACTACTTCCCTGGGCCCGGTGTCTGTATCTTTTTTTAAAAAGAACCTGTGATATGCCCAAGCAGCTGACTGCAGGAGACATCTGTAAGCATTAGACCCGAATTATCCTAGTGTGGATGTCCACTGCATGCACATGCAGATAATCGCAGATAAGCACTATGCCGGAAGAGTGACCTTTCTATTTCGACCGGAAAGCCAGCAAGTCAGTCCATTGTTTCTTTTTCAGGAATAACTCCCACGCGATAAAATAGATTTGATGTACGCCGTACATAGAAGTGGCAAATTGGGGATTTACTTCGCTTAAAGGAGCATGCATTTGATGAACAATTCGGAGCAGCGTGCTTTGGTGAAATTGAGTATCTTTATAGTGCTTCTTGCCAAACCGTTTTAGACATGGCCAACAATTTGCACCAATGGCATAAGGCTTTATTATGCGCCAAAACCTCAGCATTTACCCGACCATAGAATACAGAAATTCAGGAGTCGTGATGACACGACTTACAAAAGCAAATAGACGAGTGGGAGTTTCTTGACAAAAGGAAAAAAAAACAACCCCCCTCTTTACTAGATCTCTGAGAGTCCCCCATTATGACCAACAGCAAGCCGCATATATATCCCCTTACCTATTCAGGACAACGTTTTAGTTATTTTAGACACTAATCAATCTTGAGCAAAAAAATCACGTGAAAAAAATGATGTCTTTTACCTATCTATCTTGTTTATGGACCCTCAAGCTCACCAAATGGTCACAGCCAGGTCTAGGGAAGCGGCTCGCTTGGGTGACCCGCTCGCTTTTGAACTACTTTGACTTGTATCATAAATCTCAACCGAGTTATTAGTGTCGGATATCTTAGATTCAAAGTTCTCGGACGATAGTTTTGGGTAGTCTAGTGAGAATGTCCACCATTCCCGACCTCCAGAGTATGATCACCTAGAGCGATTCCAATTGTGTCCGCCTTCTCTCCGGTATATGGACCGCCTAAATCGGTAAATTAGCATTTTCAGCACTCAGAGCCATGCCTCATAAGCATTCTTACCGTAAATAGGATGCACCAGTAGACCTTGCTCGAAGGCGTCGAAAGAATGTTCTGCCATCCAGTGCTCGAGGGGCTCCAATTTGACACATTGATGTTTTGCTTTATCAACCGCCAGAGGATGTTTTTGTCTTATTTCAAATATTAGCATCGCCGACATAGGCTGGCCTGTGATAATATCTTACCCAGCTCCCCAGTAGAAGGGGATGACTGTAGTATCGGCGTTGCATTGTACATATTGCCTCAACCAATCAACACAGTGTTCTGAGTTTGAATCGGTAAGCGTCAACTCCTCGAGAACTATGCTCAGTTTTAGCTGCTCTGGCCTCACTCACCAGTATGGTACAAAAGGCGCGCGTTATTTTCTTCAGTCATGTTAGGGTAGTAAGAATCCCGATGAATGTAGTGATGGAATCTCTTCAGGCAATGCAGCCCATGGAACACCGCTAATGTAGCAAAATAACCAGATCCATCGGCAAGTTGGATGACGCTGTCATCATGGGCGAATGGGCCAAGTTCACCTCTCTGAAGACGAATATTTTGGTTTACAGAGATAGTCAGCGGAGCTGGGCTTCTCGAGAGGTTATCAAAAGATTAACAACGTCCGTACGTTGCATGATGTTCTTCCAATCATCGGCAAGCTGGGGTGTCGACTTTCTGTTGAAGTGTCCTGGTTTTTTAGGATTCAAGGTTCCATTGGGCAGATACACAGGTAGCAAATCTAGTTGCTGCCCCTCATATCTAATAACATCGCGAGCAGGCGCTATTGGGTAGGTGTTAGCTCTGTGTTAGATAAAGTCACGACTTCCCTCTCAGGAACACTCACTCTCTTCGAAAAATGGGTAATGAGAGTATTGAAGATTAAGGTAGGTGTAAAACAAGAAATCTAATATCACGTTTAGCGATAATAAGAGAGCGTTCACGTAGATAGCGATTTTGTGTCGCTCGAGCTAGGAACCATTGCGGTGCTTGAAAGTGAAGCTATCTAAGCCATCGTCTTCCAAGCGAGTTTCATCTCCGCCATGAAGCAAAGATTCCACGGAGGCATTATCCTCAGGATTCAGACTCGAATACTTCTCCATTGAGACCTAGGTCGAGTGGTGCTAGCAGCTTGACTTCTAGCTTGACTTCTATTCAGTGATGTAAGAAGTGAATAAATCAAAAATGGAATCCAAAAGTTGCTACGACTGTCAATAATCTCATGGTCATAATAATCATACTGATGGGTAACATATGAGCGGCGCTCTGATCAGGCCAATGGAATGCTATTCGTAAGCTTACGTGCAGGGAAAGGCATCTATGGACAATACACTCGCTAGCATGCGCTATAGACAGGAGACTCCCCTGGATAATAAATAGCCCTATAATCACGTTTTAACACGAGGATAAGACTAGCACCACCCGTCAAAAGATCGTAAAAGCATTTATCTCATTAGCCACACGAGAATCTAAAGGGAACAGTATATTTTCCTCTCAAGGCAAGGCCGCCTAATCCACGATTGTTTGCCTATCCTTTATGAACTTTCTCTTTGGGTATCCTAAGAAAGAGCTGCAGTTGTAAAAAGGATTGCACAAAGGACCCAGCAAGGATTGTCAGTCCACCCCAGGTCCTTGAGGCACAGAGGTAGATAGGAAATGCAGCAATCGTCAAGAAGAAGCTTATAAGCGCCAGCGTACAAGATTGAATCCAGGAAACGCGATCCGGGCGAAGTTTTTTGTATATCGGCCAAAATGTTGTGAATATTCCAAGGAGCTGAATCAGAGCAGATGCTATAAGTTGGAAAAAATCTGAATCTTTTACCCCGCCTGGCTTGTTCTCGGAAGAGACCGAAGCAAAGCAAGCTGGGACAAATGAAACAGCGCATGTGACAGGAACAATGAAAGCAAGAGCGGATCTTGCCTTTTCCTGTTCAAGTATAGCATTTGGAGGATTTCTTGAAGGTGTCTCTAGCAATTTCCTGCTTTTTGGTAAGAAAAGTAGTTTGAAAATAGTCAAAATGGAATCACCTCTCATCAGTATCATCTAAGCAAACCAGCGGTTCGTGCTGAACACCTAAAGTTGAGCACAAGTCTTCGATGTCCTCGTCGATACTCCGCAATCCCTCCTTGAGTATGGGAATTGATTTTCGAAGATAGCCACTAGCGGCCGCATCTTTGATTTGGTTGTATAAGCTTCGTGACAAATGCAAAATATCGCATAACTGTTCATGGACTGCTTCGGAAGGAACCGGGGGGGGCATCACCGTGGATCAGCATGTCCATCAGCTCGCAATTCTCGTATTCCAAAGCATCCTCAAAAGCCTGAATCGCCAGGTAAATCATCTCACGATAAAAGTCACCTTTGAAGGGCTTCGATACTATCTCATAAAGGTTCTCTTCGGAGAGCGTTGCCACATGACGGCGTATTGCGCGGTAAATAGATTGCAAACGATCGTCATGGTTGATGTTGGCGAGATTGCCTACAGTGAAATCCACGAAAATCTTTTGGTAATCTTTGGACTTTTTGTGCTCTTGTAGAGTCCGCAAAGCCGAAAAATCTAATTTTAGCAGTGTGGAGGCTATTTCCCTTAAGACTGCGTGTTCGGGTCCTTTTGACGGACGTTCTCGACGTTTCTGCAAGGAATTTTGAGGAACACTCATATTCGGGTTTGGTGAATGTAGATAAACTCTGCTCTTTGAATGAATCGAGTGAACGGACGAGGTAAGAGAGGAAGCAGAACAAAAAGCGGGGTCAATCATCCCGGCACCGCACTTCTCAAGAAAAAGGCGCCGCTAGAAATCATCAGGTATCAATTAAAAGTGCCCAACAGTATTATAGAACGCGTTATATCTGCATGTGCGTCAAGTCTAGTACACCAGTGGGTAAAAATACTACAAAAAGAGTTAGCGGGCTTTGGGGGCGAAGACTAAATGTGACCAAGCAATTTCAGCTAAGGTAATTGGTACATCAAACCTAGGTAAAACTCCACAGTTTATGGGCGAATAAGAAGTGAGAAAGTAATCATGCATAGAAACATGAAATAGGTATGCGCAATACCCTAAATATCCATCCAAACTCGGTGTCTAGATCGAGTCCACGAGAGGGTAGACCCTGGCGTGAGATACTGGAAATCTACACCATGAACATCCTGTCATCACCTGCCTTTTCCTGGTGTTCACGGTTTTAATAATAATACAGCGCTGGGGAAAAGGGCCAGAGACAGAAATATAAAAGCTGGCAGTTTTGCCCATTTATTACATCCACACATCAGCTTTGACAAACAGCTTGTTTCAATAAATCAGTTCCAAATCCTCAAGTACTTCGCCAGCCTGATTTTAAATCAAGATCACTCCTATGATTCATCTTGCCAGCACTATCTACATCGCCTATGCTTGGGCTATTGGAGCACAAGGGCTCGTTGTGCACTCTCGCAAGGAAGTCGATGGAGCATGGAACATCAACAAGCGCGCCGAGACTGACGAATCCTGGAAAATCAGTCAGTATATCCAATCAACACCTTGATCCAAGAACGTGCTAACCTTGGTAACTAGGTAAATGAGCGCACAGTCAAGCAGGAAACTTTCAGTGTGACATGTTTTGGGCGAACATGGATGATGATCAGAGTTGTCGAAGGGTTGTGAAGCATCACTGTTGATACCTGAGCATATGAGAGCGGGTTTAATGTCGGGACTGCGAATATTGTTGGTGCTGTTGAGGAGTTCATATAGCCTTATGATTGCATATTGAACTGAATATTCTCTTGGTACCTTTCGTTAGCTGACGTGATGAGTCGTTCCTAATTTGCTTATTCGGTCGAAAATGTTAGGGTACATATAAAAGCAATTCATTGAAGAACAGATGAAACCTCGAAAGCCATCGAGGGTTCTGTTCTGTAAAAGCAGTGCCTTGTTGCTGTTGTGGTAGGAAGCCTAATTCTAATGTGCGTTTCAATGCCCATCTTTTGAACAAGATTAGATCTTGCTTAGAGATGGTATATAATGGACTGAAGATGGATGTTGTGTAGAAGTCAGGTAAAATGTAACAACGGGTCCTGAGTCCAGTGGATATTGTCAAACCACGCCATGAAATCAAAATTACCGTCCAAATCACAACCGTCGTACCAATCTTTAGATAAATCAATATCCGGAGTCAAGGGAGCCGGCTGGAGATATTCGGGGGATATAATTCGATCGAGTACCCGACGAATAAATCTCGCCCCTTGTTGAGCAATCTCATAACTTCCTTCATGTGGACGCACCAGCGAGGTCAGATGGGAGACAAAAAGAACGAGCTTTTGGATAGCAAGTAGACGAAAGTTGGCAGGTAATGGCGCTGGTGATAAATTCGATATCTGAGAGCTTTGCCCCGAGAGCAGGTTCGAAGTTAGGATGCCTGCAGCAGGAAGACCAATGTAGCATAACTAGAGAAAAATGATATTATAAGAGTATGTTAGTATTGAGGGGGCAAGGTAGTCTTACATCCCACGACATATTCGCCACCAAGTGAGCAGACCGGATCTGCATGGCAATAATGTCTAATAGCGTGGTCACTATTTCCAAGGAGCTTTCAATAAGACCTTTTGAGTTTGTCCCAAGGCGCTTTAGCAAGATCCGATGCAGCAGAAACTCCTGGTACGTAAATTCCATGTGAGCGAAGGCGCGGCCCTCATCTCGTGTAGAGGTGTAAGCACCCGCTGCAGCGTCCTCGGGAGACCAGTGCATAAATAAGGGAAGGTCTTGTTGCGTTTGACGGGATTCCTGAATCAATCCTCTGTACAGTTCCTTGCGGTCAGTCCCTGATATCAACATAATTTGAACTCTATGAGACACGGACTCAACTCTGGCTGGGATATGCTGAGTTGTAGGACTCAAAGACAACTCTAGGATACTTTCTCGCAACAAGCTTGTTAGTAGCACGACGCGAAGCCTGACACCAACGGTAAAATTTCCTTCGGTGTTCCAACCATTCGCGTCGAGATTCTGTAGTGCCCTCTCTCCTTCGCTTCGTGAGAGGACTATCGTCTCATAACTTATATCCAGGGGAGGCAGAATACTACAGTATCGAGAGCATATCCGTGGAGGACGTCCTAAGGAGGTCGCTAGTTCCTTATCAATTGCGTATGCGCATACCATGACTCGCTTTCGGATCTCCACTAAGAAGAACGGAAAGTCTTCTTCAAAGTCTTTATCGGATTGATGCAAGCCGAATGCGTATACGATGGTAGATAGATCTCCGAGTTTTTGCCAGACCCTATAGTCTATCCAAGGTTTAGCCATTTTCTCTCTTTTCTAAAGGGCGATATCAAAGGGTGGTTACCGCTATCGCCAAACATCGAACTCAAGAGAACTATTTGCTGGGTCGTAAGCCAGCAAAAGGGATCGCTTGTCGTTCCAGCACTACTGCAGAATTGGCAGCAAATCTCACCAACAGCAGTGGCGATATTTCTGAGTTGGCTCTTTTCAAGCTTCCAGGGGTTGCGATGCGTGAAGATCGGGTCATCATCGGGTGTATGGAATAACGCCGTTCCTAATAGGGCGAAGACAAGTCCAATTGTTTCCCATCTCGCCGTTATTGAATCAAAATATTCTGAAAAATTCATTGTTGAATGTGTCTGGATATCTTCGGATGTGTTGACAAATATTTGACGGGACAAGGTGGCTAGTGATGCATGCGTATCCTGAGAGTTGCGGACTGCGCAATCATACATTTGCTCCATAGAATTGCACAAGGCGCGAGTCAAGGGAGGGCCTAGAAACCATCCCGGGGATATCTTGTTCTTTAATTCAATGATCTCATGGAACCAATGGATCTTTTGCAGGTGTGATAGAATCTGAACTCCTAGGAGCACCTGATCGGAGTTGCTTGGTGAATATGGAACTGTTGGTACTGTCGCTGCTGGTAGACTGCCTGGTTCTTCAACACGCAGGGTGTCTTCATACTCCCTGAAAATATCTTGGGGTGAGACCAACCCTAGAATTCCAGGTCCCAGAGTCTGTTTCTCCTTTGCAGCCCATTGCGCAATATGCTGATCGCGTAACGTATTCCCCGCATCTGTAACCGGTGGCAAATCTGACTGCGGGCGAGGCGCGGCTGTGCTGGAGATCCTTTGATCCACTCGAAAAACCAATTGATTGTCCGGGCGTTGTTGCCTCTTGGATCTCCGGGGGACCACCCTGGAGGCGCGTACGCGCGGCTGAGTTAGTGGAGCGGGATGATAGAAGCAGCGCTCGGCCTGGCCATGACAGAGACATCGACCACAGATGGGACTTTGATGATCGCATCGTAATTTGGACTTTCGGCAAGGCTCGCATGATGACAGCCGTCCATTTCGACGAGGTGTTGCCATTTTCACTGACCGGATTTGTTCATACGGAGTAAGGATAGAAGCCTGGCTATAAACCGGCGATGCGATACTAATAAGACACAGTCTACTTTGTAGGGTTTGAGGATATTAAAGAGGAGGAGGTACTAATGCTTTTGCTGCAGTGGAGAATGGGGTCCAGGGGCCTCGGCATCGGACCTCAGAGCCGGACCTCAGCATTAAATATCCTATTTTGGGAAAATCCAACCGGAACTCCGATTGGACAGTGAAGCAACACCGCTAGTGCCAGCGGTCATGGATGTGGCCATCGACCTTCGCTAAGCCCTGCATCAGCACTGCAACATCATTGGAAGGATCGAATTAGCACTTCATGAATCAATGTCCACTATGGTAGCCTTGACAGCTAGTCTCGTATTCATCTTGTGCATTCACTTGCGTCGAATTGGTGCCACATGCTTTTTACAAATGTGACGGGAGCGGAGTCCTGATGAAGAAGTGCATTTGTACGGGGGAAATTAGACTGGGGACAGCAAGAGGGAAAGAGAGAAAACATGAAGCTCGAGGAAGGTCAAGAAAAATTTCATCCTTCGCCACATGCTTTCACGCCAGTTCCATCGTTCCTTGTCCTGTCACAAAATATGGCTAACGCGGCACCGCAAATAGATCCGTAGTTAGATCGGCACCAATGGAGGAATTCATTGAGAAGTTCTTGGCAAATACAGGGGGTGAGATAGCGGGCTCAGGCTCTAGTCTTATTAGGAGCTACTACTAACGAGCTAATGGCCTCCTGCTAAGAAATACCTTTTACCCCTGTATGGCGCTTCGATCAGGCTGGACGGCGGGCCGTCCCTGCTTGGGGTCCGTGTACGATGAAGCCCGACCGGGTGGATTATTCCATCCAATAGAGTACTGTCGACATAGCCTGTCTAGGGCCATCAAAGGCTTAGAATGGCAAAGTCAAGGTTACATGAATTATGGGTTTCCTGCAAGTCTCTGGACCAGGAAGCAAACGAGATACCTAGGTACTGATAAATCACTCGCAGGCCGCAGTGATATCGGTGTTACATGCACCCTCTTCTTTCTTCTTTGGGCCATACAGTGAGTGAGCCATTATGGATACAATCATGGACTATCACACACGAGGAAGACTTCAAAATCGCATAGCGCAACAAAAGTTTCGTATGTAATAAAAGTTTCGTATGTAATATGCATGCTACGATTGGTTTGAAAACTAAATGAAAGATTTAGGGGAGCGGAGTAAGAAACAAAAGCATTCCCAAGCAATTCAACATCAGGCCCACAGCTCTCCACCCATTTTGAACTATTCCCGGGGTGATCAGATCGGCTATTATGGCGAGATTGCTACCACAGAGACGTGGACAGAAACTGCCGTACCGTCCTTGATTCCAGGGGAACTGTATACACCCCAACAATATCTCGAGGTCTCGGGCCTGAATAGTGATCAGCCAAGTTTCTCTAATCCCCCCCAACCATCACAAACTTATGTTAAAGCGCTTGGATTTTGGTCGAAGAAATGAATGGACAAATATCAGCACTAGGCCGATAAATGAGGTTCCTGCTCCTCGTCATTATTTCCCCGAGCCGGCGGTCCAAGCCGAATTCGACGGATGGCAGCGACGGCCACGACGAAGAAGAGTGATGCCTGTAAAAATGGAAGTCCCATCCAGGCATTTCCGAGATGCATGCCCAGTCGAAAGAGATTGGCGAACAGTGGACCTGCGACAAGCACACCGACCGACTGTGCGATGGCAATGACAGAATACAAAGTGCCGACATGGTCTGGTAGTACAAGTGCCGTGGCCAGACTGCGAGTAGTTACCAGGAATGATGACCCAATTGACAGGATAATCTGGCCACCAACTAAGATGGCTGGTGTCGGGGCGAGGAAGATTGCCGCGAAACCGATGATTGACAGGATACCGCTCCACTTGCTCATTACATGGTCTCTATATTTCCCATGGAGATTCAGGTATCTGATAGCAAGGCCGGATAGGCCTGGCATTAAGATTGAGTAGGTCAAAAGAGAGAATATCCCTCGCAGCGAGATTAAAAGACTCGACTATGGTATTGTTAGTTTCAGATCGCTCAAATGAAAATGACAAACATACGCGAGCAATGCTCCAGTCGAATTTCTTTGACACATACTGCAAAAGTAGGTTTGTGGATTGACGGCCTATAACCGTGACAAAAGCCACGATAACCATAATACACACGTTTGAATCTGACCAAATGAACCGGGTCGACTCGATAAATTCACGAATCTGTCGAGTAAATTCTTGAAGCACTTCTTTCTTGACCCGTTGCTGCTCTAGTCGCTCATTTTCGGTGGCATGTTCTGTGCCTGCTGGGATTGAACGCTTCGCTTTTGCATCTTTAAGTGTCTCGGGGAGAAACACGACCGGGATGGTTCCTAGAATTATAAGACCTACTCCTAGGAGATTAGGAAGCATTGGGCTGAAGGTCATCAAATAAGCACTGATCGGCGTAGCCAGAATTTCTGCCAGGATGACAGCAGAATTCAGACGAAAGAGGGTAGTTGATCTGTACATTTGTTAGCTTGATCTTGCAGGACCGTATAGCGCGACAATACCTTTCATCTTCAGAGAAGACGTCGGCTACTATGACACAAACAATAGCAGCGATCACTGGATCACCGCCGCCGATGACCTTAAAAAGTGATGATAACCAGATCATCCGCAGAGGAATGTGACTTGACCATATGCCTATAAATTATAAACAAAGCATCAAGCCAGTAGATAGATGGCCAACTCACAGACTATTCTCACCCAGAGTTCGCCCAGGATAATACCTAGTAGGCAAAAGCACAGGACTGGCTTCCGTCCCCAGCGATCTGAAAGGATCCCATATGGAAGCGAAAGCAGGAGACCTGAGTTGTCATCAAGATCAGCATATTTTCCGTAGAGCTGTAATGATTAGAACAAACCTACCAGGGATGACATCGAAGGTATCTTTGTACCCTATCACAATAGCTAACTCTCCCTGCACAATCTCAGATTTGCAAAGATTTGAGTCCAGCAGAGCGTTTGAAATGCCTGAGTCCAAGATCGCATTTCCGGCCCCGGTCCGACGGAGACTGGCCTGGTAATCCCGGCAGATAATCGCTTCGAAGATAGCTGTCTGCGGCGCATTTGACATAAAAACCCCGAAATCAGTTGCCAGTGTCAGAAGGGAACACACAACAAGGATGAGGAATTTTTTGGATCTCCAAGTCTGTGATCTGGTCGGCTTTGAAGCCAACAAGGGGTCTATCTCGCTACCTGGATGCATATTGCTGTTGGAGTTGGGGTGTGATGATTCCCTTTAAGTGTCCCTAGAGGGGGTTAAAGGGCGAGAGATGTAGCAACCTTCAAAACCCACGAAATCCAGGGGATGCCAAAGTAGCATCATCATGCCGCCATTCCTTTCGCCCTAACGTGCTCTAAAGTGCCCTAAATTGCCGTTATCGATTGGCTTTTGATGTGGTGACGCCCCGCTCAACTTCCTCTTCCCCGATGCCTCTCTCTTCTCTTTGCTCACTTTGACCCCTTGAACCCTGAGAAAAATAGCAGGCTTATAACATTACCCTTTCTACGTTAAACTACCGACTCCAACATAGGACTACTCTTGACAGTTCATCTCTGTTCACTGTAAATGTCTTACTTGCCACATCTCAAAAATCGGACCTCGGAGTTCGGAGTTCGAACTGACCTGTCTTGAAATGGATGATCTCGACTCTGTCTAGCGCGATTCTTGGCCTTAAGACCAATCGCAGTGTGACGCACTGATTCAAGAGGAAATCCTGACTTCTCTTTACCCCTTTGCGCTTGAGCCCAGAAGCTGTTTTTTGCGTTATCAGCGAGAATGGTGTCGCCCTAGTCGGGTAGCATTGACGCCGCAACCCTGATATACATTGCTCGTGTGAAAATCGAGGCCAAGTATTCAAATACAACGGAAATTGCAAGAAAAGCGATGTTTCTGAGTTTCTCCTGCGAGGATGAAAGTTCTCCAAAAACCTGGTAACTCATGGATACCCTGAATCTGTTTGTCAAATGGTAGACAGAGTTCGGCAGGACTATATCCGGAGATGCCGCTGGGATAATCGCCATGCACTCTCGCCAGTCAGGAAGTCTCTTCCAAATTGATTTCTTGCTCGGCTTCAAAATAACGGCGCGAACCCAAGCTGTATGCAGGTTTGTTAAAAGAAACTCGAAAAATAGTCTAGAAAAAATTGGGACAAAAAGGTTGGGTCCATTTTCTGCAAAAATAGGCCTCGCCGGGATAACGATCAAGACTGTCACAAAGATATATACCAAGAAGGAATTGAGCCCAGGGTATGTGGACCAGAATCCTTTTCGATTTTGTAAATGCCGACGAGCAAGGCTTGGTTGGCTGGTGAAAGCATTGGAGCCGGGTGTAATAGAGAAGATTGACCTCATCGTCAAGAATCCCATAGTGAGATATATGGCAATACCATGCCCTGGGTTGAAATTGAGGTCAATGAAGTCAATGTACGATATGAGGTAAAGATCAGCGAGCATGAGGAGTCCAGTACCGAGACAAGGTATAATCTCCCAGAGGAACTTCTTTCTACCTCAGCTCCAGAGGAACTACCGTGTATCTTCTGGTCTATCTCTTGATATAACATCCATCTGGTCCACAAGACCATTTCCACCTTTGTCAAATTTAAAAATTCTGACTTTTGGGGTGGGGGGGGAACATTTATGGAGGTTGGGGTCTCCAAGATGGCGAGCGCCGCTATCACGCTTCCATCTGTATATTGAAACTAAGATCGCGATGGATTAGTCCTAGTCGAACAAAGAAGCGGCAGGTTTAGTGAATTTTTACTTTAAAGAAGACGGCGGAACTTATTAGTGTTGTAATAACCACACTCATTGGTATATCGATCTGAAGATGCGATGTAGTGTTCGTGAACCAAAAAGCACCAAACAGTCGTGTCAGTGATCCGAAAGACACAGCGTCAAGGAATGAATAATAATGGGAGTAGACAGATACTCGTGGTCAAGTTTCACTCGGGTAGATGTAGGTATATGTAAACAATGGGGGCTACGTTGTGTAGTAAGTCAGTGCGGAGTAGGCGGCTGTATACTCCAGACTCGCCAAGAATGTGGAGGAACGCTTGTGAAATCGACTCCACAGGGGGTCTCCAAAGAGAAATCCAGCCGCCACGCCCCATGAACCTTGTCTCGCACCTCAGACCTGGGCACCTGGCACACACCCCTGATTATATAATAAACTGCCAGACGAAACCCTCCGATGGCATGAATCTCACATATAGGTGAGTGTATAGCAGGAGTAAGATATTTAACACATACTACGGAAACGAGCGAGGAGGGATGGTAATAGGTTTTTGACAAAAGCGCAGCTGCGTGTACGGAGTATTATTTCAGTGTGCTATATAATACGCCTTTTAGGTAGGCGGTATACAAGTATAGTTATGTCCACTGGTGACTTTCCTACCCCGGTATTTTTTCAGCGCCCGGCGAGAATACCGGCTATGTTTGTAGATCCGTGAAGTAATCGGTAGTCCCACTAGCTAGACTCGAGGAGGCTCATCCGTGACCTATTCATAAGGACTATTGGAACACAACATCAGCAGGCCCCAAGCCAACAATAACTTGGCGATGTACAACCGAAAGACGTCAGTAAAATTAGCTCTCCAATGAACGACTGCATCTGCTACAAGTGCAATTAGTGCAATATTAGGAGTGGCATTGTGGGAGACTCAAATGGTTTAGACCCCAACTTTTAACAATCACTCAAGCATGAGGGTGGCCTCGAGGGCGTTCAAATCCGCGTAGTAGATGCCTAGGGACGATTACAAGGTCTGGAAGAAGGCAAATGAGATTGCAACATAGATTCAGCTCGATATCCTACATGTGCATTGAAGGGCAGAAATTACTTGCATGTGAAACCAAGTTTGAATGAGAATTTTCACTCCCATCTACTCCTCTTCAATCTCTCCTTCCTCGCTGCCAGAGTGAATGGCCTTCTCATCGTTCTTCTTCGCATCCTCAGTTTCTTCTTCCGGAATAGCAGAGCGTTCCCGTCGGGGGCTCTGGGCCCCTTGCTACGCTCTCGCTCACGGCTATCACGTCGGTACCGCTTGGCAGACCGGCTAGCCACACTCTCGGTATCACTGTCACGTCGGCGTCGGCGGTCCCCACTAGCCACACTGCGAGTGTCGACACCACCAGTACCACCACCATAATCAAGCTCATCACGACCTCCGCGGGGATCACCACGAGTGCGGTACAGGCGCTCGCGTTCGTCTTCACGTCGGTCTGGGTCTCTAGTACGGGGACGGTCAAAGTCACGGTCCCGGCTGCGGTAACGGTCACGGTCTCCACGTTCGTCGCGACGGTCGCGGGGGGTGGGGAAATACCGCTGACCTTGCGGTAAGTTCGTTCGCGGTCGGCCTGTGCCTTGCGACGGTCCGCTTCGTATGCATCCATTTCCGGGGTGCGGTTGGACTGGCCGCTGGGTCCACGTCGTTCTCCTCGTCCACTGCGGTATTCACGATCACCACGGTCGTAATCCCGTCGACTTCCACGGCTTTGAGAGTGTGCTTCACGATCCCTCTCTGCATCCTCATCTCTTTCTTTCAAGCGGCGAATTGCCTTTTCAAAGGCAGACTCCCGAAGTTCATCCGACTCGAGGGCCTTGTATTCTTCGTATTTCTCAAGACGAGGTTGAACTTCAGCCCAGGTATCGGTGGCCCGGACAGGGGGCTCGAGGCGCTTGATACGAGAGCGCAATGCATCAACGGCGCGGCGCTGTTGACGATCGGCGGCGTGCTTCTCATCCTCCGTGCGTCGGATTGCCTTTTCTTGGATACGCCGGAAGATCAGGTTGAGGATCTCAGGGTCGATCTTGGAGGTGCGGCGGTCCGCGGACATGATAGAATTGAATTCATCAAATGTCGTTTCGGTCGTAACTTCATATCGTTTGTCCTGGAATCAGTTAGTATATATAGTCTACGATTCTATTCAATCCGAGAGAACTTACATCCAGCACATCGAGAACATCGTTCCGGGGTCCACGCAAAGCACGCTCTTCTTCTTCCACCATATCCCAGAACAAATCCAGAGGGGTCGAACCAGGCTGGCCCAGGATGCCATGGTATCTGGGGTCATCCTTAATGATCGGGCAGATATTCATCCACTTGGCGCCCGCCTTGATCTTGCCCTGAGCTCTGAGTTCATTAAGGAGGGCCACAAACTGCTCTCGGTTCTTCCGCTCTTTTCTGGCTCTGGCTGCCTTGTGCTGCTGGCGAGCATCGTTGAAAGCGCGCTCCAGGGACTTGATATGATTTTCGAAGGCTGTCAGAATGTCGCACTTGCTCAGAGATTTGAACTTTTCATCGCTTTGGAACTTGCTATCAGACTGAATGATAGCATGAGCCTCGGACCAGCGCGTGTATGGCTCCAGGTTAAGTGAGCCCAAAATGGCCATCAACTCATCCATAGCGGCCTTGTGCGTGACAGACTCTTGCTCGAGATGAGCCTTCTTGAGTTCAAGGATGTACTCTTCGAAAAGCTGACGTCTCTCATCTTCCTCGTTGGTAGACCTGAATGTGGTCTCCCCTTCAATGATTGGGCGAATTGTCTTCCAGCGGCTGTAGTATTTGATTTCAGGGTGCCGCTTCAGCATAGTGTTGAAATCGGCGCGAAGCTTGGCGAATCGTTCTTTCGCTCGATCCTTTTCCTGCATGCGAACCTCAACCACGTATTTCTCGAATGCTGCCTTACGGTCTCGCGGATCCTTGAGAGCTCTGTATTGCGGGTCCTTGATCGTAGCGCGCATTGTATCCTCCCAAGTCCAATCGGGCTGCACGTTGTGACGTTTGAGGAGCTTCATGAAAGCGCTCTCGGCCTCCTCCAGAGAATGATAGTCGGGATCCATCTGCGATTTGTATTCAGGGGCAGCAACCATTCCGTTTGGTTCATATGAGCCGTATCCACCGCGTCTATCGCCGTATCCTCGATCACCGCGATCACCGCGGTCGCCTCGGTCGAAGTCGTCACGGTCACGTTGCTGGGGTTGCGAGAAAGAGGTTCCGCCGGCGACAAAAGAAGGGGCACTGTAATGGGATTAGAATTGAGGAGAATTAATTCGGGAAGGAACTTACGCGGGGG